TTGCCGCCTCTGAACTCTCAGGGTTTTAAAACATTACCTACAGCTTCCTGGGGTCAGCAACGGCAGACAGAGCGAACAACACAGACCTTTTTGAAAAGCCTGGGGAGGAAGATACATGGAGAGTAAAGGCTTTCAAAGACTGGAGTAAACCACAGGATCCAGAAGGCCATGCACGTGCCCAGGACTGGACACAGTCTCAGAAAAGACCTGGGTGGACCCTAGGCCTCTGCCTCTGAATGATCTTTGGGCTTCACGTATGTAGGAGGTGAAGGCTAAGGCAGAGTTGTGAGCGGCCTGGCTAAGCATTGGGGGAGGGCCCCAACTCACAGCTGATCTGCTAAGGCCAGGAGACTATCTTTTGTTTTGTTTTTCTTCTTGAGGCATTTAAGGAAATTAAGTATTCTATGTATTCTTTGCCATTTTTTCTTTCACTCAACATATTCAAGCTCTGACTCATGTACATTTCCATAATAATAGGCTATATAACTATATCACAATTACTTATCCATTATGCTGTTGAGGATTTGAGTTGTGGAAATAAATGAAGACCACACTCAAAACTGAGAACAAATAGGCTGCTTATTCAGAGCTTGCCGCAGCAAGGGAGTCGGCCACCATCACCTGCGTCTGGCAGGCACTCGGGCAGGCAGAGGTTTACAGTGGGAAAGCTTCAGAGTGAAAAACACAGAGAAGGCTTCAGGCAGGCTCGGATTGGAGGTTGTTGGCATAAGGAAGTTGGAGGCTGGCCAACTAGCAGCAGCATCTTACATGATTGTTTGGGGGGACATATTTGGCTTTCTCTGATTGGTCCTGAGTTGGAGATGGGGACAAAAAATACAGATGTTGGCAGTCGTCAACCAAGTCCTGACCATTCTGGGTGGCTTGCTGAAGAGTTGTGGTTTGGCATCCCAGACTTTGCTGCAGACGTGGGTCAGAGTTTGTTGTCATATTTTTCCCCATTGTCCCTTTTTATATTCGGTCTCAGAGCTGTTTCCAGGTTATGGCTGCAAAGCTTTTCCAATTTACATAAAGTGTAATATGAGAAATAACATTAACTCTTAAATTGAAAAGTTAGGTATAATATTATAACCCCTAGAGCAACCATTTAAAAGAATACTGATATACAGCCAATAGGTAAATTCAAATGGAATATTAAAAATTAATCAAATAGTTCAAAAGAAAGCAAAAGGAGGGAAAAGGGGAAGCAAAAACAAAACCACAGGGAGAAACAAAACAAAAATGGTACACCTGAATCCAACCATGTCATTAATTATATTAAATGTCAATGGTCTAAGTCAGGGGATTGACAAACTCTGTAAAGGGCCAAATGAAATATTCCAGGTTTTGTGGGCCTCATGGTGTCTATGAGCTCTCCTTGGAATTAGCCACAGACATAAACACATAAATGAGCTAGTGTGGCTGTGTTCCAGTAAAACTACATTTACAAAAACAGGGGGCAAGATTTAGCCTGCAGGCTGTAATTTGCTGACCCTTGACTTTGAATTCTAGATTTTTGTTTTCTTCCTTTAAAATATGTTCTAGGCGGTTAAGTTACTTCCAAATCTAGGAGCTTCTTTTAATTCTCTCTTTTATTCTTCTAGGTTTGGAAGTTTCCAAGTTTGGAACCACTTTCAAACTAACAGCTTGGTGTTTCTAAAGACCAGCCTGGTGATGAGAATTTGGGCTGCAAATCCACAGGATGGCTGACTGGCGACAACCTCTTAGAGTTAGGCCCAAAGCAATGCTCCCGCAGTCCTTTAGGGAGAAGGGAGAGAGTTTGGGATTCTCTTGCGGTTCAGTCTTCCTCTAAGAATATAGTCTGTTGGCGTCCATGTTTAATTATACCGCACCTCAATCTGGGGGCGGCCTTTGCATTCTTCCTCATTTGCTGAGGAAGAGAGGACAATAAAGGAACTAAGGACTGTGAAACAGCCCCGCTTTCCTCTGCCAAATGGTGGAACACAGCCTGCTGGTGAGGAAACTGGCCAGAGGGTGCAGGCGGTGCTGGTCTGGAACAGCAGTCCCCCATTCCTGGATGGTGTGGAGAGCGTGGGGAGGTGGCTAGAAGGCGCAGCTGGAACTCATCCAGGTCGCTCCCAGGCTGGGTAATGATGATGGAGGGCCAGAACTGGAAGGGAATGGTCTTCCTGTCGCTCTCACTCCGCAGTTACGCCGAGGCCTTATAAAACTTAATTGTTATCATGCAAGAGATGTTTACAGAGTCCAGCCCCATTATCACAAAGCAGGGCAAAGAAAGGGGGATTTGGAGCTGAGAGCCAATAAATTGATAACTGGCACAGAAGGGGCTGTTTTTTGAAACTTAGCCCCACCTCCCCACACACACCATCATAAGTCAAAAATGCTTTAACAATAAAGTAAGTCTCCATTTAAATCTATACCGTGTTGAAAGAACAAAAATAGAAGACCATTTGACACAGGAAATATGATAGTTTGTAAGATATACAGCTCTCAGAGGAAAAGACTAATAATTTTCCAGTGTTCTTACATTATTTACAAGAGAATTATTTGAAGAGTGTTTTCCCTTCCCACTTGAGTCCTTGAGGAGCTCATGTCTGTCTTCATCTTTCTAAATTTGTAAGTGCTTTGATTTGCATGGATTATCTCATTTAATTCTTGTAAAACCCTGAGGCAGAATGGTATTATTAATTACATGTCATAGATGAGGAATCAAGCTTGTTATTTTTATTATATTTCAGGTGTACATCATTATATTTCGAATTCTGTATAGTCTACGTGGTATTCACCACCAAGTCTAGTTGCCATCCGTCACCATACATATGTGCCCCTTCAATCCTCTGCCCTTCCCCCACCCACCTCCCCATCTCATAACCACCAATCTCTTTTCTGTATCTGTGAGTTTATCTTTCACTTATGAGTGAAATCATACAGTATTTGGCTTTCTCCGTCTGACTTATTTCATTTAGCATAATACTCTCCATTATTGGTCCATCCATGTTGTCGCAAATGACAAGATTTCATCTTTTTCTAAGGCTGAGTAGCATTCTATTGTATACGTATATACTACACCTTCTTTATGAAGTAATACAAAATGTTCATAGTTTTAAAAGTAAAATAGTTCTACATGGCTTAAAATGGAAACACTCTTGGGGGCTGGCCCCGTGGCCGAGTGGTTAAGTTCGCGCGCTCCGCTGCAGGCGGCCCAGGGTTTCGTTGGTTCGAATCCTGGGCGTGGACATGGCACTGCTCATCAAGCCACACTGAGGCAGCATCCCACATGCCACAACTAGAAGGACCCACAACGAAGAATATACAACTATGTACTGGGGGGCTTTGGGTAGAAAAAAGGGAAAAAAATAAAATCTTAAAAAAAAAAAAAAAGGAAACACTCTTCTCTTCCACCATCCTTCAGGGCTCCCTAGGGGTGACCTTCCTCAACTCTTTCAGCTTTTTTCTCACGTACTGATTTTTATATTTATTAAAAATATGCTCATACTGCTGTTTGTTATTTTCCAGTTTGAGGGACTGTATTATTGCCCCCCCCATAGGATGAGGTTTTAGGTCTCCTGCCTGCTCCCCTCCCCCCCCAAACACACACAGGGCACCCATGCATACGCTTCTCCTCCCCAGTTGTTCCAGCATATTTGTATCAGTTTTTTCTCAGAATTTCAAAGGCGTTACTCTGTTGTCCTTAGTGTCACATGTTGCTTTAGGTAGTCTGTCACCATCCTGATTACTGATCCTTTGCACGTGGCCTACTTTTTCTCTCTCCAAGCTTTTAGCTTCTTCTATATATCCAATGATCTAGAATTTCATGTGCTTTGATATATCTTCTTTTTTTTTTTTGTAACTATTGAGCCAAGCACTCAGTGACTTCAGAAATCTGTGTGCTAAGTTCTGAAAAATATCATTGTATTAGTTCTTTGCTAAAATTCTCCTCCTAGTTTCTTGGTACGCTCCTTCTGGAACTCCCATTATCCAGATGTTGGATCTCTTTGAATGATCCTCTTTTTTGTGTGAGGAAGATTGGCTCTGAGCAAACATCTGTTGCCAATCTTCCTCTTTTTGCTTAAGGAAGATTGTTGCTGAGCTAACAACATCTGTGCCAGTCTTCCTCTATTTTGTGTGGGATGTCACCATAGTGTGGCCAGACCAGCGGTGGTGGGTCCACACTTGGGATCCAAAGCTGCAAACCCTAGGCCACCGAAGCAGAGCTCGCAAACTTAACCGCTACACCACTGGGCCAGCCCCAGTCTAATTTCTTTTTGTCTCCTAACTTCTTTTTTTATTTTTTTAAAGATTGGCACCTGAGCTAACAACTGTTGCCAATCTTCTTTTCTTTTTTTCTGCTTTTTCTTCCCAAATCCCCCCAGTATATAGTTGTATATTTTTTTTTAGTTGTGGGTCCTTCTAGTTGCGGCATGTGGTACGCCGGTTCAACGTGGCCTGACTAATGGTGCCATGTCTGCGCCCAGGATCCGAACCGGCGAAACCCTGGCTGCCAAAGCAGAGAGCACAAACTAAACCACTTGGCCACGGGGCCGGCCCCTGTCTCCTAATTTCTATATCTTTAATTTTTTTGTTTACTTTGTGGGGAAAATGTCATGAAACTTTATTTCCAAATTTTCATAACATTTATATATCTACTATCAAACTTTTTCATTTCCAAGAGCTTTTAATTCTCCAAATGTTCTTTTTTAGGACATCTTGTTCTTATTTCATGATCAGTATCTTTTCATCTCTTCTGATCCTGGCATTGTTTATTGTTTTGCTTTGTTATATTGTTTGTTTCTGTTTAATTTTGGTTTCTCTCTTTCTTTCTTAGTGGTTTGCCTCAAATGCCTGGTTGTCCTGGGCTGTCCATTTATATTTATGAGTGAGGATGAAAAAGCTGATCGGAAGCCCTGTGAGCATAGATGGGCACTCACATGTCGAGAGAGAGGAATTTCCATACAGTGATCAGACGGGGACTTGGCTATTCCAGCTGGCAGTACTGTTGACTGAGGAAAAATCCACTACAATTTAAACAGCAAATATTTATTTGGGCAATTTCAATTGCAATTTAGGAGACACAGATTCAGGTAGAAACCCAAAATGTGCTTCAGAGAAGGCAAGGGTTTATAAAGGCAAAAAGAGACAAATTACACAGGTTGTTTTGCAAGATTTCTGACTGGCGCTGGCAATGACTGTTACTTCTTGGCTATATGTGATTGGTTGCTAAGGCCATCTCTAAGGCAAAAAGTTGTATCTGTGGTAGTAAGCATGTTTCTCGAAAGAAGGACAAAGTGACAACAGTGAAGCACAGTTCAAAAGCTGCATTTCACCTGGGTAGAGACATGGTGTGCGTGCATGCATAAGCCCCGTTTCCTTACTGGCCTCCCAGCCCCACTTTAGAAGCCTTGACTTTTGTTACTCCATTTTGTTACTGCTCTCCACAGCCCCCACAGTCATTTCTCTTGGATGATCCACTTCCTCGGAGAGGAATCTAACAAACTCTTCTGAGTGGGTGAGAGTGGCAGTGAGGGTGTGGGGAGGGGAGTATATATCCTTAGTCGTAGCATCCTCAGACCAGGTGGGGAAGAGACTCAGGGCTCACCATTCGGAATGGAGACTCACTCAGTCTCCACTCTCAGTTGCTGTTTCTGGTGTTTCCAATCTGGACACCCTTCCAGAGAGTGAACCTTCTGTCAGGCTGTTGCCTGGCTGCAGAGGAACCTAAGGCTCTCTTTCTTATAGCAACTGTCAACCATTCTGTTGAAGGAAGACCTGGAACCTTTAGTTCCTGAGCCTTTCCAGGGTGCTGTAAATGACCTGCTCACTGAAATTCATTCCTGTAGGTATCTGGCTTTGTCTCCTTTTCTTAGACAGCCATAGGCTTTTCTGGTCCCAAAATTCTGTGGCCATCTCTTTTCTGCTGTCTTTCTCTCTCTTAATCTCATCATTATATTTTTTCCTCTTTAAAAAAAATCATTTAAGTGTAATTTTATTGGGAATTGGGAGGTAAAGGAGGTAAATATATGCTCAACCTGCTATGTTTAACTGAAAAAAATATCCTACTTAGGACCCTCTAACAAGGCGTCTGAATCCTCATACCTCTGAAGGGCTGTATTTTGCCTTCACACTTTATTTGTAGCTTGGTTGATATAGAAAGCTAGTTTCAAAATTATTTTCCCTCACAGCTCGGAGGCTTTATTCTATTAGACTTCAAGCATCCACTGATGCTGAGGAGATGGGGATTCCTGTTCCTTTGTAGGTAATCTGTTTTTCTCTCACTGGAAGGTTTAGAGTCTTTATCCTTGATGTTCAATTTCACAGACGTGTCTCTCAAGGTGGGGATTTTTGAAATTCATCTTGTTTGGGAAATTCATCTTCCCACCCCGGGAAGAATGGCTCTCATCTCTGATTCCACCTTCTTTGCTACATGTTTTAAAGGGTATGGTCCCTCCATTCCCGTCTATCCCTCAGTAGAATGTCATTTGCTTACAATCTTCAAAATCTCTGGGTTGAGTCCCACCCCCCCTTCTTATCTATGTTATGGATTTATTCTCTTTTGTGAATCCTATAATCTCAGTGGGATTTGGGGAAAGAGAAAGGGTAAACGTGTATCCATCTGTCACCTTGACCTAGAAGTTTCACTTCTCTTTCAATATGCTCGTCACCTGATTGCTTACACCTCAGAATGTCCAGGTCTTTGCTTTCTAAATCAACTTGTAGTTATTTGTATGAACCGTCACTAGAATATTCTTACAAGACAGAACCAGTTTCATTTTGCATCGTTCCTATGTACACCTAGAAAAGATGGCTAATTAAAATTTTTATGCCAGAATAGAACTAAACAATTTAAATTATTGCTATTGCTATTTATGCTTAATTACAACATTCTCAAATGAAAACATCCCAAGAAAGACCCTAAAAAGAGAATACTGTAACTATAGTTCACCTTGTTCCTTTTTCTCCTCTTTTTTTTTCACTTTTGTCTTCTAAATGATCACTATCCCTAATTCCTTTCCCCTTCTCTCCTGAGTGGGTATATTTATATTTGTCCAAATTACTTTCCATATGCACTGTTGAAAATCAGCTTATTAAGTAATTCTAAGGTCTATAAATCATTGCAGAGTGCCTGCAGAAAGGACCCCGACTCTAAGGTACTCATTAAAAAAGAATACCAAAGAAGTCTTAACTACTTTGATCTTTAACTTTAAAAATAAAAACTTTTGGCTCTTCATTGATCATTTGGACTACATGTTTCAGTTCTGAATGGCCTCCTTGGGCTTTGCTAGAGTTAATAATAAGCCTTCAAGACCGCTATTTAATAGGTAAGTCTGCTAGCCTGTGAAATTCTTCTCAAGAATAGAAATAACAAGACTATACTTCAGTGTGAAAGTAATTAATGGCCATGCATGAAAAACTAAATACATGAGGTGAAAAATGGATTTTATACAACTCAAATATGTTAAGTGTTATAACACATATTGGAGCCATAAGTATATTTTGGCTTTATTGCTGTTAGTCATCATACCCATGCCTATCCATTCTGAAGGGTTTTTTGGTTTTATTTTTGGTAAAATTTTGTTCATTCTCTGACCAGTCCAGCAAATTTGGGTATTTTCTAGTCAAACAAGTAAAGAGCTTTGTTAAATGTGAAGAGAAATTTATTTACTGGTATAAAAATTTTAGGTAACATTGAAAGTTACCCAAGCATATCTTCAAAAGCTTTGCTTTACAAATGTTAGAAATGGTCTTAAAATGTTAATACTGAACTGATAGTTGAAATTCCTAACCTTGATGAGACTTAAATTTTTTATTTTTAATTTCTGAAGAATTTAATTTACCACAAAAACAACTCTGAGAGTTACATGAATATATAGTCAGAAATATTGCTACTCTCAGCATTAAATATTAGGAACTTTTCCATCCCTATTAAGCTTGCTATCATCATTCTGTCATTACATGATAAGTACCAAGAAATATGTATTTTAATAAATCATTTGTTAGTGAATAATATTTTATACAATGAAACCAAAGGAGTTTCATATAGTTTAAATCTCAAGATTCAAATCTCCAAAGAAAATATTCTGAATTTAAAATTTGTTTTGAAAATGGAGAGGGCTTAGCCTTTACAGCACAGTCTTTGGCCTGGCCAGGCTTTCATCAGAGCGGAGTCCTGGATGAGGAGCTGAGACGGGCCTCAGGCTGACTCGCAGAACGACTTGTCATCCAGATCCTGAACCAAGCCACTTCGTCTCTAGTTCACTGATTTTCCGATCATAAAATAAGGAGACAAATGCTTCTCTGTGTGTGTGAGAGCATACCATTTGTAATAAAATCCATTCCTTCTGTAATCTATACCTCTGTCTATTACTCCAAACATAAGAAAATGTACTCTGTAGAAAAAAATAGTAAATGTACTGCAACTAAACTTGAAGTTGGACTCTAAAAGGTTATTTTAGTCGGCTTCAGCTTTAAGCCTTGGAAATAATCTTGGATGCTAATGATGGTAGAATTTTCATAATTAAAGCAATTGTTTCATTCCTTGGTGCCCAAATTCCACTTCATGAAAATTATAACATTTAAAGGAACTCGTATGGACCTAGAATGAACATTTGATGAAGCTTTTCACTTAATTGAAGAAAATTTCTTGTTCTTAGCTGTTGGTTTTTCATTACAAAATTCTTGCTAAATCTTAAACAACCTGTCCTGTGGAAAATTATCAGTGACAATTTGCTTGAAATTATTACTTCAGAATTTATGGAATAAGACATGGAAAATATATGAGTGAGAATGTACATATGTCTGTATACCTTTTTTAAATTTAAGAGGTTTTTAAGAGATTATGGAATAGAAAGAAAAAACGCAAGATTCAAAGTGTGGATACCCTTAAATGATAACTTACTCACCAATAACTGGACCACTAAAATGTAGTGATTTTAGTGCAAACAGACACGTATTCTGTGTGGCGTGGACCACTTGTTGAATGAGAGGACTCCAGGTGGAAGGTCAAGGACATAAAACCACAGGAGCCGTGAGGGTGGGTCTTCAGCTTAGTGAAAATAAATGTACTGTGTTTCTTGAGAATTGGGCCCTAAATTTTCTTTCTCTACTTTAGAGGGAGTCAATGACATGTCTTCAGGGAATTTGACCAAACTTAGTTTTTGAAGGTTTATGAAGCATTGAATATGACTTGCGAATATTTATCATGTCTACAAACACATTTTAAAATATTTATATTGCAATCTATATAAAAATAAAACTATGAACAGCTGGACAAGAACACTGGTCTACTCGCCGAACTTTTTTCCAAGTTCCTTGACATCGAGGATTGCCAATCGCTTGCCAATGGAGAGTTTGATTCCTGAAAAAATATTTTGAAAACATTAGTTAACTAAAAGTAAACCAAAGAAAATTCTAACTTATAAACTGAGGGTATAAAAAAAAAGAATGATCAGATCTAGAATTTTGAAGTGCATTACAAATTGAAATTTTTAAAAATGATCACAAACTTGAGTTTCCCTTCTTTGGGTTCTATCAGAACAAGTTAGCGACTAATGCTTATTTGAGGACACGCTCATGTTGAAAGAGTAGTTTGAGGTTACTTATTCATTTCTCTCACTTGATCTGAATATATGAAGGGCCACATAAAGGGAAATGGCTTCCTATTTCATATGTATTTAAATAAGAGGGGTCTGAACCAAATGATCTCTGTAATCCTTTCCAACACTTTGATTCCAAAATGAAAAAATGAGAGAAATGGGCAGAACAAAGCCAGATTATTGAAATTATTATTTTTATAGTCACTGGAACCTCAGCCAGGATCTAAGGTACTTTATGGGTACAAATTAAATTATAAATTCATTTCAAGTCAAAATATGGATGAGGTATTCAGAAAGATATTAAGTCTGAATATTAAGGTTCTATTTCATATGAATTCCTTACCCAGTTTACCGTTCATATGGTGAAGTCAATACTGAGGCTGTTAGGCACAAGTGACTCATAAACATAAGTTCAAGTTATTAAATATTAAAATATACTAGGAAAATAATGATTAACTGGAAAGGTTCATATTTTACCTTCTAGTCTGTATTTTTACCAGTTCCATCTGACATACTTAAAACCATAATCCATGGCCAGCACGAAGTCTACCCTTCTCTTAGTTCAGAATAGTGTTACCGAAATTAACTGATAGGTAAGTACAGGACTGGGATAGATTTTCAAGATGGTAAAATGTTTTCATGGGTCAATTCTTTTGGACAATTCGTAGATTTTTGTAGGTTTATGACCCTGCAAAGCTGAGCCCACCACTATCTCAGTCATGATTTTATGACTACTACTGAATTGAGCGGTGGTTCTGAAATTTTGCTGTGGATGTGAATCACCTGGGCGGGAGCTCAGCAAACTATGACCTCTAACCCAATTCCAGCCACCCCCTGTTTCTGTATAGTCTATGAGTTAAGAATGATTTTTCAGATTTTTAAAGAGTTGAAAGAAAATCAAAAGAAGAATATTTCGTGACGCTTAAGAACTCTATGAAATTTAAATTTTAGTGTCCATTAATACAGTATTATTAGAACAAAGCCAAGCTCATCTGTTGCCATAGTGTCTATGGCTGCTTTTGTGCTATGATGGTAGAGTTGAGTAGTTGTGACAGAGACCATATGACCCGCAAAGCTGAAAATATCTATTCTCTGGTCCTTTACAGAAAATATTTGCCAACTCCTGACCTAGGAGATTGTTGAAAATCCACCCCCAAAGATTCTGATTCAAGTGGGGCTCAAGAATCTGTGTGTTTTAAATCACCATCCCAAGAGATTCTGATTCAGGTGGTCTTCAGAATCCCGCTTTGGAGCGATCAGGTTTTTGGGGTCATTTGGGAGCTTGGTGTGGATCCCAATATCCAAATTAGCCATTCATTCTGCAAGAGAGCCTCTGGCTCCGAGTGTGAACTGGGCCCTGGACTCTGGAATTGCTAGCTAGAAGGGTCTCCTCACTTATTCTTTTGACTCCCGAAATCATGCCTTGATATGCTACATACTGGTCAGCTGTTCAGGACATGGAGAGGACAGATCTCACCAAATGAGTAACAAGAAAAGTCCTTCAACCAATTTCCCTCCCTTACCCATCAGAGTCCAGGCCATCTCCAGAACAACGAAGGCTCATGGAGTTCATAGCTGGAGGCTGACAATCCACGCACACAGTGTACCCCTCTCGGAGATACTGCATCCATCGCGTCAGAGGTCGGTTTTCCATAGCGCAGTGAGGAGTCAGGGACTCTGTCTTGAACTCCATACAGTAGCTGCAGCCAAAAGAAGGAACAGTTTTATCCGCTGTAACAAGAGGTGGCCTAATGCTGTAGAAAGTCTTAGGAAGCTGTAATCCCCAAGGACATCTCACAGCCTGGAGGAGGTAGCGCAGAGCATCTTCCCAGTGGTACATCATCACAGAACACCTCGTAGAGTTTCTCATTCGCTGAACTATGATGATGTCTGACTGACAACTACAGTGAACCTTTTTGCTCTTTTTCAACCCATGACTGAATAACCTGGTCAACAGGAATTTGCAGAAATTTCAATATCCAGTATCCTGTCTAGTCTGACCACTAAATTGTGTATAGTGTGTGTACACTAAATTGTGTATATTTTCAGTAGGAAAATAGCCCTTGATAACTCTGCTTGTACTTTAATGAATTACATAAATTAAACAAGAACTTGCTTGAGCCTGAGAACAAGTGGGCCCTGGGAGGGCTAGTCCTTGACACCCAGGCCAGCACCTGTGTCTTTCTGCCCCACAAATGTTCCAGGGGCTGTCCCGACATTCCCCACTCAGCTCACCTGCATGATCTCTGGCAATGAGATGAGTTCTGACTTGAAGTCGAGCATCAAAGATATACTGGGCATCACAAGTAAAAAGAAATGGGCAGCTGAGATGATTTTCTGTGACAGCAGCCAGTGTCACCTATACTGAGCTGTGGAAAACTCTAACACTAAATGTGACTTGACTCTGAGGGCCTTGAGGGGAACATCCAGACAGGGGTGAATATTTTAGAGTCTTGTACTTAAAAGCAACACGATTTTACAATTCTTCAGAGAAACAAACATAGTAAAAGTTCTGAATGTTGCATTTTAGGTTCTAACTAAGCTAAAATGGACTAGTTTTTTATTCATAGAATTATGAGCTGTAACAGCCTAGATGAAAAGTGTTTGGAGAGCCTGCTTCAAAGAAGATCTTTAACAACAGTAGATCTCATTAAGGTATTGAGGTAGGAAATTCTATGACACAGCTTCAATCAACTTTAGACAGCTTAAACTGGACAACTCTTCAATGATATCTTCTCATCAAATTCTCATCACAAACCCATGTGGTAGGTATTAATACTGTCATTTTTCAAGAAGAAAAGAACCGAGGTGGCTAGTGAGCGACATTGTGGGGATTTGAACTTGCACCCATCTGGTGGCCCTGTTCTGACAGCAGAAGAGTAGACTTCTAGAGAGCATGGAGGTTCCTCCCTCCCAGCCTGGGCCTTTAGGTCCTGATAGAAATCCTCAGAGCTCAGGCGTGGGCCCCTTACAAATTCACCAAACAGAGGTGGTACTGGAGCCTGCAGTCCCACAAAGACTAAGAGAAGCATCCTTAGTGCGAGTGACAAAATAATATCTCATTTTTATATAGCGTGTTTCATTTTAGAGATCAGAGCTCAGAGACAGAGAAATCCTCATAGCCCCACAAAAACAGGGAGGGGACAAGTCTGGGTGAAGGGTCATGTTTCACCCAAAGTCAGGGAACAAGTGACAGAAGGAAACCCATAGTGCCAAGTTGACCTTATGGGCTGACTTGACCATACAACTGGGAAAACACAAGTGAAAAAACCACCGTATTACCCAGCATCCTCTGTGTCTGTAGACCACTGCGGAGACGCGGCTTGTCTGGTTCTCTCCTTGTTGAATGCAGAGGTAGTTATAAAGGCAGGAACTAGAAAAGGGAGAACGACATTGAACACATGGAGCCCGAAGTACTCGCAGCGACACTTCCCAAACTTGGTTTCAGACGTATCTAAAACCCTCCACCTCTAAGTCCAAAGGAGCAAGATGAGGCTGAATTACAGTGTCCCTAGAACCCCATTCCTGAAAGACTGGTGCGCATGCAAATGGGTAGGGAGGGGAAGTGCAGGGCTCTGACAGGCAGGCTTGTCTGCGGTGATAAATCACACCGTGTGAAAGGAAGGAGAGGGGCCAGGAAGAACCACCAAGAGGAAATGATAAAAAGATGGGGGGGGAAATACCAAGCAAAAAAGGGAGGTAATAGAGAGAGGCAGAGGATATTTTTAAAAACGAAACGAAGAGAAATATAGATAGAAGAAAGTAAAAAATGGAAGGAAGACAGAGAAGGAAGAAAGGGGAGAAGAAGACAAAAAAGAGAGAAAAGGGGATGGAAGGAGAAAAAAAAGATGATCAGAGAGACAGGAAATGAAAAAGGGAAAAGACAGAAGAAGCAAAGGAAGGAAGGGTGAGTGCTCCAGTCTCCAGTAACCAAAGTCCTGGAAGCTTTGCCACCAATTGCCAGCAGTGGTCATCTCCTCTTCCCTCTCCTCCCCCACTCTATCCCAACTCTGACACTCTCAGTAGGAGAAAAGAAAAGGAGCCGGGAATTCTTTCCTCCCACCTCTGCTCTGTTCTGTAATTTTATGTTGTTTGTGTCTCTCCTTCCTCTTTCATCTCTAAGTCTAGGGAGGGTTTCGCTCCATGCAACACCTGGAGATAACCTCTTGGTTCCACTGTGCTGTCGAGTCAAGGAAGACGGGGTTTTACCTTGTTTATCACTGTAGCCCTCACACATTTACACGCTCAATAAATATGTGTGCCATGAATGAATGGGTCGATGAGTGAATGAATAAAGTCACGAAATTGCCACCAAGGGGCCCTGGTCCTACTTCCCCGTGGGCTTCTGTTCTTATACTGAGCCTTGCAGCTAAGATGGCTTAACAACCCTTCCTACCTTTCATTTCAGAAACTGGATGATCCCAGGAAGGGCAGAGACCACCTGATGCTGGCTTATGCGATGCCAAAGTCATCATCAACACGAGCAAAATGGCGTGAGGGTTCTGGTTGCAAAATAGATGCTTCAAGCCTACGTGTTCATTTTACCTGGCTCCCTACTGCCACAAGATGGCAGCCCTAATTCTCTTTTAGATTTTCTTAGTGAGGAGTCATTTTTACGTTACCAGAGAATATAAGACAAGAGTGGCTTAATTCCTCGTGGCGACTCGCTCCTAAGAGACGCAGGTACTGCTGTCGTCTCTTGTGGTCTGGTGCCCAATCTCTCCAGTGGCGTGGACAGTTCTCCACATCTAGAGGGAGCCCTGAGTCCCAGCTGCCTGGCTCTTCCTTGCTGCACTAATAGGTTTAATTGTTTTCCAAAGAGAACATGCTCTGCTTTCAAAATGTGACTGTAGCTTCGGAACGTCCAAACTCCACGGACAGAATCAAAAAGAACAAGTGAGTGCATGTATGTCAGGATCCTTCTCTGTGTCTCTTAGACCTAATTATCAGAAACACAAACAGCCAAAGGGTTTTATTTTCCCATGTCTCGTTTTCATTTCTGTTCTTCTGATGCATTTATGTGTTTATTCACGAAGTGAAGAAGGCAGTTACTGCTAAATCCACGTAGCATTACACGTCAAACTATAAAATTTTCGGGATGTGTTTCTTTAGCTCAAAACATTTCTTTGATCTCCTAATTTGCACTGCATATGGTATTAAAAAAGTTCAGAGGCAATGTACTTAACGAATAGCTCAGAAAAAAAATTAGGACGTAGAGGGCAAGTATATGACTATAGTTTCTGATATAAAGCCCTTGGAAAAAGTTCTACAGTAATAAAATTAAAAGCTAATAGTTGTGCACTCTTACATTTCCAGGCACAATGCTAATCTAAGCACTTCTTTCATGCGTTAACTCATTTAATTCTCACAACAACCCTCTGAGATAGATACTGTTATTTTCCCATTTCACGGATAAGGCACAGAGAGGTTGAGGAGTGTGTTCAAGGCTCATGTCTAAATATGACAGTGCCTGGCTATGTCTCCCAAACCACGCCCCTCACTGTCAGTGCCACTGCCTCCATTACAAAGCAGATTACAGCATTTCACCATTTGATACCACGTATTTCCCATGGATTACTTATACTCTGCTTTATTTTTCCTTTCTGTCCCTGATCCCCGTCCTTAATGTGAAGTGAGATCTAAGAAAGGAACGGGGAAAATGGTAGCCCTTACACTCTGAGTCCCCTGGGCCGCGGGAGAGGGTGGGGCATGGGAGCCAGGGCCAGGAGGTGGAGGGGGCTCCCAGGGGGCACAGATTAAGGCCTGTAGTAGGATGGCACCCTGCATGTTTACAGGCTGCTCATTTACAAAGTACTTTCACATTGTGTGTTACGGATCTTCACAAAAGCTTTGTAAAGAGATCTTATGCCAATTTTACTCATCAGAAAACTGAGCTCACAGAGGTTAAATGAAGGGAAAATAAAGAGTAAATGACTAAGCGAGGACCCCAGCACAGAAGATGCGTTCTGTTTTTTTAAGACCTACTATCCACATTCAGTGTCAAGCCTCTGGAGTTGTGACCCATGATAAAGGCAGGCCAGTAATCTGGACCCTGTCTCCTCTCCTCCAGGTCCCCTCCCCTCAAGCCCCGGGCTTGGCCTGGTGGCACATTCTATTGAGAGGGCGCCCTCCTCCTGGCACCAGTCTTCGGTAAACAGACCAGGAGCCAGGTCGCCTGGGGAACTCTGAACAGCACCACTTTTTAATATCCTTCACAAATCTAATTTTCATGACTTAAGAGTGGTAAGTAATTTAGAAATTATTTTTGCCTCCAGTCCCACTTCTGCTTATGTGCAGAAGCACGTAGCCGGTGCCTGGGACAAAGGCTCTCAATAAACGCTGGTTCCCCCCTCTTCCCCTTCCTGGCAACAATATTCAAATATCATAAAGTCTCTGTTATCAGGCTACTTGCCAACTTTGTTGGCATCCTATCAGCCTACCATTGTTCGGTTTTACAACAACTTCCACTTCTAAAAGCGTGGCACCGCACAGACTCACTTTGAACATGAAAGTAAATTACCTTTGCTTTGAGAATTTCGCCAAGCCTCTGACACAATCGGGTGTCAGAAAGGCAGGCCCAGAACCACTGGTCTGTAGATATAGCATAGAAGAGAAGAGAAGGAGAATTTGACAAATAACACCAGCCTGGAACCATACACTTTATAATAAAAATTGATCTCTCTTCAGGGGGAAAACACATATAAACATTTCTCAGTAAGTGTAACCAATACAATAATGTGGCTTTTTGGATTTGTTTCTATGATAAAAATATAGTCAAAATACGCATTAAGTGAAACAGGAAAAATGCAACAGCTACTTGATCATTAATAAGAATGCTTCAGTGATCTTGTTTCATTCACTGGCTTCATTTACGGGCCTTTATATTTCAACTTAGTTACCAGATGCTGTAATTACAGTTTTAGCTCTAATGATAACAGTTAACAGCAAAGCACTATGAAGCGGGAAAACGCACAAGATTTAGAGCCGTGAGACCCAGGTTTAAATTCTGGTAGTCCTCTCTGAGCTCCAATGTCCTTGTGCGTAAACCAAAAATAATGACACTGTCCTATCTCCAGGATAGGCAGAATAATGGCCCCCCAAAGACGCCCATGTCCTAACCCCCAGAACCTGTGAATATATTACGTTATTTTGCAGAGATCAATTAAATTTGCAGACAGAATTAAGGTTGATAGTTGACCTGAAAATTGGGAGATTATCCTGGATTATCCGGGTGAGCTGAATGTAATCACAAGGGTCCTTCAAGAGGCAGAGGAAGTTGTTACTACAGAAGAAAGGCACAGAGAGGCAATGATGCTGGCTGTGTCGATGGAGGAAAGGGCCATGAGAAAAGGAAAGTGGACAGCCTCTGGGTGGTGAAAAGGCAAGGAAGCGATCCTCTCCCAGAGCTTCAGAAAGGAACACAGCCCTGCTGACACCCTGATGTTAGCCCAGCGACACTCTTGTCCGACTTCTGACCCACAGAACTGTAAGATAAGAAATCTGCATTGTGTAAGTCACTGAGTTTGCGGTAACCTGTTACCTCCAACTTTCTGAGCTATTGACAAAAGGTTGCACAGCACACGCTTGGTGTTTCTCTAGAACGTGCTTTCCTGAAAGTGAATCTCTTCATTGTAGCATCATTCGTCATTTTGGTAGGCTGAGAATTTTCCAATTCATCAAGCCCTGGTTCCATTAGGATTCAAAGTTCTTCCCTCTGCCTAGCTCTTTGCTCGCCCGTTTTACTATAGCCAGCAAGAAGAAACCAGACTGCACCTTCAAGACTTGGCTTGGAAATCTCCTCAGCTAAATATCCATGAAAAGGCGAGGAGAGGGGTTCTCCCCTAGAGCCTTTAGAAGGAAACACAGCCCTGCTGACCCCTTGATTTTAGCCCAGTGAGATGTGTGTTGAACTTCTATCCCACAGATCTATAAGATAATAAATGTGTGTTGTTTTAAGCCCCTAAGTTTGTGGTAATTTGTTACAGCAGTTATAGAAAACTATGACCCTCTCTTATAGGATTGCTATGAAGACTGAACCAATAGTGTCTATAAAAGCGCTCTGCCGTGCACACGTAAGGGGTCAGAATGCCATGCAACAAAGCCTCCTGCTCTGTGAATAGGAAGTCTGGTGGAGGGGGGAGGTAGGAATAGGTACACAAGTGACCCGCAGCAGGATGGAGAGCCCCCAGATTGAGGGGGGTACTCCTTCTCTATGCTCCCTCTCCAACCAGCATATCCTTCTGTCACAGCACTCGCTCATCACCCTGAGTTATAAGTGACTATGATACATGTGTTACTCAAGTTTGTATTTCCAAAACCTAGTACAGTCGTGGTATGTTGTTGGTGCTCAGTGAATCTTAAATTAATGAAACAAAGAAACGGATGCACTGGAACTAGGGTGAAACAGGGCCTGGGGCCCCAGAAGAATCCACTAAATTTTCACCTTCCTGTCTCATTTCCCCCTTGTTTTCCCTTCGTAGTCCATCATTTTCCAAAGAGTATTTTACGGAACACCGGTGATTTAGTGATCGAATAAGGTGGGAAAACACTCCACATCCTATCTCCCTCTTAGAGAACGAAAACGCACATCAGCATATGAAAGGCTCCTAGAAGTTCTTGGGTGGACAAAATTGTCTGACTGGTTTACCCCACATTTTCCAGACTAAACCCTGTTTTTGCACTTCAGGAACTTCTGCCTTCAGGAAATTTAAGTGATCCAGCTGTGACGCAGGGGGCTGAGGGAAAAACCGTGTCCCCGTGCTTGGGTGAGAGCTGCGGTTCTGGGACATCAGTGAGCAGCAGGCTCCCTGGAGGCCTTGTAACCACGCAGAGGGCTGGGCCCCCTCCAGGGATTCTGATCCGGTGGATCTGGGTGGAGCCCGAAGAACTTGCCTTTCTAACAAGTTCCCGGGTGAGGTGGATGCTGCTGGTCGGGGACTACCATTTGGGAACCACCAGACTGGCATATTCGAGGGGGCCCGCCCTCCTGCCCAGCTCCCTGACCAGGAGCCATCATTTCTAAGACATCCCAACAGGAAAGTGAATCTCAGGGCCAAAGTCAGGGCTGCGAACGCCAGCGGCCCTGCCCCAAGGAGAGACTGCTCCTCTTTTCCAAATTAGGAGATTTTATTTTACCTTATTAAGAAAGGAGGCCATTAAGGATAGATCTCTCCTGTTAGTTTTACATCAAAGTTGCTAACACCTTCTGGGGAGTCACAGAAGACTGCTGCTTCTTAAAATCCTCTTAGTGGAGTTAGGAGGGAGAGGTGGCTGGGGGGGAATCTGGGAATTGGAGGGCATTGGAGGACGGCAGGCCTGTGGGCTTTGCCCAGTCCCAGGACAGAGGAGTGGACATCTCCAGGCAGAGAAAAGAACCCCAGGGGGCAGGGTGTGGGCCCAACGCTCCCTCGGACCCCTGGCCCATGTTCCATAGCATCCTCTTCATTGCCCTTCCTGTCCCCTTTCCTTCGACCTGCATTGTCCTGTTATAAAGAGATCCAAGGCTGGGAAGGGGTCTGTGACAGCCTGGAGCAACATGGAAGAGTCAAACGTGCTGAAGAAACCCTGCCTGGCAGCCAGACACTGTACATGAGCAGAGCAGCCACTTTTTCTGACAGACCTACCACAGGTTTTAAGAGTAAGGTCCTGCAGCGACTCCCTCCCTGAGCCTTTTCTGCAGTGTTCCTGCACCGTGCATAAGTTGAACGTGATTTTGTTCTATGACTGTTCCTGTGAGCACTAAACTACTTCCCTGTGGGCTTAACACGACTGCCATACCCACGCGAGGCCTCCAGCCTGGCCTGGCCATGTGCCACTCCTCTCCCAGAGCCATCTTTCCAAATCACAGATCTGATCCCACAGGCCCCTGCAGAAAACAGCCCAGTGGCTTCCCAGGGCTCGTATGATAAAGACAAGAATCCTACACAGGGAGCTCCCTGCACTGAGCAGATGTCAGCCCAGAAGCTGCCCGTCTGGCTCTCCGTGCTCCCGACACACTGGCCTCCCTTCAGCTTCTCAGATGGGCCTTGTGCGTCCCCCGTGTTATACAAATGAGCTAAAGATGGCCCCTATGCTGTTTATTTCCTCAAAGCCTACTGGCACCAAACTCAAACTTTTATACATCCAATTGTTTTAAAAATAGCCACACCGTAGCCTCTGGACTCCCCATCTTGTGCAACCATGTCCAAGCACCACCCAACAGAGGTTGACTCTTGTGGTCATGTTTTCCTAGCTAAGCCTACAAATCCCTCTAAGGCTCGACACCTGGCTACAGTCATGTACTGTATGAAGACATTTTGGTGGATGACGGAACGCATATATGACGGTGGTCCTTAAGATTAGTACCCTATAGCCTATGTGTATAGAAGGCTATTCTATCCAGGCTTGTGTGAGCACACTCTATGATGTTCACACAATGACGAAACCACCTAACGATGCATTTCTCAGAATGTACGCCCATTGTTAAGTGACAAAGGACTGTATCTGGTTCACCACACTGGTCACTCTGATGGGGCAGCTCTACATATCCCAGCCTCATCTCCACATCCTCAGGGAAGCCCCTCCGCTCCGCATCTCTGTGCCTCCCCGCCTCCCCCAAGACCAGAGGAAATCGGCTTATTACACACACTCGTAACTCCACATGCCTCTCACTTGTTTACCAGCTGCACCAAATTGTAGCTGTCATTTTAGGGGATTAATTCCCTAGGATGATCTGACTGTCATCTCCCTCTCCCGCTAAACTGTGATCTACATGACAGCAGGCTCCATGTAACTTTTCTCACCATTGTGACCCTGGCTCCCAGCCCAGCGCCTGGCATCCAGTAGACTCTCAATAAATATTTGTGTGTGGGATGGAAAAAAGGAACAAAGTGGCTTGACAAGGGTCATGTTGACATGAAATTTTCCAGGTTCCTATGAAAAACATATAATCTTTGCTACCCTGAGAAGTCAGCATTTTGCTCTATCAGACTCAATCTCAATCAACACATCAGTATTGGCCTTTTCGCTTATTTCTTTCTGAACTTCATAGGCTCCAGCCTCATTAATGAGCCAACTCCTGGCCCCTCCATTGGCCACTCCACAACCAGAACGATCTTTTACAATCACAACTATGATCACATTAGCCCCAATCCAGTCAGCTGGAGAGGAGAGGTAGGTGTTTTAAGCGAATCATTTTATCATTGTTTAGGAATTTATAATTTTGACACTGTTTTCACACATATGTGGGTATGCATGATTAACCAGGAACTACAGTGAAAGGTGAAATAGAATTATCCTTACTGGATACTTCCTATCATGTGTGAACTATCGTCATCCTACCTAAAGTTCTTTGTCGCCAGCTTGAGTCAGTTCACTAAAACCCCACAGTGCCACGTGTCCTTTACACCCAGCGCATGCACAGGAGAAGGAGGCACACTGAGTCACCAACACACAGAGGGAGGGGGAGAGAAGGAGGGCCTGGATGCATTTGTGCAGCTGCCTGCTAACTCTGTTAAGCATTTCCTGAGCTTCCTATCTCCTCTGGGCAGACCGGCCCATCCCAGGGACCCTCCCACTCCCTGCAGCGCATGGAACTTTCCCTGCACAGCTCGTGGCCTTTCACGGGACGAAGAGATGGAAAGTCATCAAAGACAACGAAAGGAGCGACCATGAAAACCTCAGTACCAAAGGAGTGCCCGCAGTCCTGGCCCTCAGGCGTTGAGTACTCCAGGCAGCCGGCTCTCTCCTCCAGGGGCGGGCAGGGCGCCCCTCCGTTCAGGGGCTCCTGCCGCACCGGGCGCCTCCGCACGCGGGCCGTTGGCTTGCACTGGTCGGCGCAGCCGCTCCAGGGGCTCCACTCCCCCACGATGCACGGGCGAGCTGCAAAACAGCAGGGGGCGCTCACCTGAGTCCGCGCCGCCGGCCAGGCTGCGCCCGCCAACGTCAACAGCAGAGCTCAGCCCAGGGCCACTGCGCTCTGCCTGGGCCCTGTGTCAGGAGCAAACACAATGCCTCAGCAGGTCCCAGTGACTCCACCCGCCCTGATGGTTAACTGATAATCAGATACCTTTCAGAGGCAGGCGGATGTTCCAGAATCCTGAAGGTGGGTCTGAGCCAAGGACACACCAGTAAAAGAGAGGATGCCTTCAGGGTACTTCCTCATACTCCCCCGCCTTAGAGCAGATCTTTGTTCTGGTTTTACCTTGATCTTAACTTTCTCCTCCCTTGCCCAGAACAGTATACTGCACCCACCCATAATCCATCACCTGCCCAGGTCAGTTTTTATCCGCAGATGTGTCTCCATAGGAAAAGGTTTTGGGCCACATCGAGGCACCCCTATACTGTAGGTTTCTCCTGGATGCTCTCCTCATCCTCCTTGGCTCACAGACAGAAACCACGAGAGGTGGAGTTTAGAGATGGAGACCCGGGGCCCCAGAGGTGAAGAGGACTCGTGGTCCTCAACAAAGGGACAGAGGCAGAGCGACAATTCCGGGGTCATGACTGTAAAGTCAGTGTGGTCGCACATTTAACTTTCCCATTTAGTCCTACGGAGTCTTTTCAAAGGACTGTAATGAGTTTTTAAAATGAATCCCTTCAGGACTTGAAATTCGATATAAGAAAAGAACAAGAACACAGAAGATGTACGTCTGAAGCAGAGGCCAAAACTCTTCCTTTCCCACGAATTGTGCCTCACTTTTCCTCCTTACAGTGTCTTCACCAAGAAACCACGTGAGCTTCTTTGAAAGCTTGATTTGGACTGCTGACAGTTTGTGCTTGCAAACTCATTTTGCCTCTCAGCAAACTGGTTCAGGCTTCCTGGCTTTGGGAAGATGTATCATTTGGCAGCACATAGCTACCTCTGACATGCAACGGGTCACACATGACATAAACCCCTGTCAGTAATTCAAAAATTTCAAACTGTTTTAAAACATGCTTTTACTAAGCACCTAAAAACTCGTAGGTATCGCATGTCAACTACCTAAAAAAGCAAGAATGAGCCACCTTTGAGTTCATTACCAACATCCACCATGCACACATCCTTTGGAAAATCAATAACAGGTCACTTCCTGCCCTTGTCATCTCCTGTTGACCCTCCCTTTTTTATTTCACAATCCCATGATTTAATTGTCCCAGAGAACCAGAAGGCATTTAAAGAACCTGCTAGGCTAGAAGCTGGTTGAGAAGGATTCCTGTCCTTAATTCTTTCAACAACTCTCTTCCTCCTCCCAATTTCTCCATCCCTGAGCCTAGCTAGTCCTGCCCTGATGTGTCGACTTGAACAACACTTAATAATACACTTGCTTTTTTTAAAAATACACTTGTTTCAAAGATTAACATTTGGACATCACTATAAAATAAAATTTTGCCATGGCACTAACTCCAAATTTAGCAATATGACCTTAGGCCACATTTTATCCATATGGTAAAAGATGACCTTGGGGAGAGTTTTCTGACTGCATTTAGTCTCCTTGTATTTCTTCAACATTTGTGTCTCATGTCCAATGTTTATTTATTTTATTTGGTTTGACCCCTAGTTAAAATCCTCAAATCACAGAATCACGGAATCAGTTTTTGTTCCTGTTGGTTAAGGTATGTCCCTGGCAAACTGCTATGTCTCATTTTTCCAATCCATGACTTTAACAGCCCCATAAAGAGAAGCAGAACGTTCTAGAGCCCTGAACAACAACATCTTGATGGCTTCATTGTAAGACAAAATGAAAAAAAGTTCCCATTGGAATGACATGAGTAAAAAGGTGTTTCATAAAATATCTTGAGTGGGGACATCAATCTGAAGTATTTATTCCTCTTCTGCACAAAAGATTCTATTCTTGACTACCTTGTGAACTTTCGATTATTTGGGTTGCAATTCATCGTAGATCACAGATATCGCTGGTCACAGAGGTTAGGGGAAGTACAGAAACTTCTGACAGATTTATGACCACCAGTCACATATCACAGCTGCGTGACACAGACTTCCTTTTGAACTATTCCATTAGGATTCTTGTCCCCTTTCCACTAAGGCTTATCTAATTCACATCTGTATCCAGCACATCAAAATATTCTTTCTTAAAATCTGACTTTCTCAGTTTTCACATTTCACGAGCTGTTACTGGAGGCTGCTAGTCAGCAGCGTGACCTCCTTTGACCCCAAGCTTGTCACAGCTTCCCGAGGGCTTAATAGTTAGAATTTGATGACATCATCCCATCCCTTTTAGGGGAAAGAAGCCTAGATTTAATGGGTGCCAGGAAGCGTGGCAAGCTCCTTCTTTTCTTTTCTTCTTGTTTGAACTCAATATAATATTCAGATGGAGTTTCCCCAGAAGTAGATCCTGAGACACAGATTTGAAAGCAAGTAACTTATTTGGCAGGTGATCCCAAGAAGCACAATAAAGGAATGGAGAACAGAGACGGAGAAGTAGGTACAGAAGAGAACAGAGACGTAAAGTAAGTTCCTACATTAGGTCCAGTGGGCACCGCTGGCTTTCACCTCCCTGGAAAGTGAGAGAATGGATGATCGAGTGGGTAAGGAATTAAGTTTTTCCTGATGTACCTGCTGGCCCTCTTTTCTCAAGTACTCTCTGGTTATCAGATGTCCCTACCATAGCCACAAGGAGAATGGCCAAGAACAGAGAAGTAGGTTAAGTATTTCAGTAAGGAATCTGCGCCCAAGATCAGGGTGCGTTTGCACATGTCCTAACAGCGACATCCAGTCAATAAACCTTTGTTGAATGAATGAACTTGCATTGGGCAGGTTCCTCCTCCTTCCTGAATAATGTTCTACCTTGAAACAGACTCTGGTCGGTCCTAAGGAAGTAAGAAGCCAAGCACTGACAGAGGCCCCGGCATGAGAAGGAAAGCCAGTGGAAGGACAGGAGCAAAATCAGAAACTCCCACAGCCAAACACATGGGAATCTAACCTGGGCCAGAGTTGTCTGGACTCTCCTGGCAATGGTGGCCCCCAAGGGTGGCCCCTGGAAGGAGCCTTGCTTTCTGTGCCTTAAGGTTAGGCAGATCCCAGCTTCTCCTGGCAGCCACAAGAACCTTCAAGTCCTTTTTAGTGCATTTATATCTCCTGCCAGTAACATATCTTGAAAGTAACAAGCTTCTTTAATTTTATCATCTGTGGCGTGAAGTGGTATTTCCTTTATCTGAGGCAAATTTCCCTCAGGCAAGAATTTCAGAATATGGTGAACAAAATATCTGTGTTTATCTTATCTGTGCCACTCACGGACTTACTGTTTCAGTAGATGTCCTTCTCTCCAGCACACATGTCATGTTGAGGACTCCAGCTTTTGGACCTGTCCTTCTTGAGACAATTCCCTTTCTCGGAATTACCGCTGGACTTTCTCCAGGTCCGCTCACAGCCTCAGTGAGCTGTGGCAACCAGACTAGACACACTATTCTCAATCCTCAGGTATCAAAGAGTAATTAAAAAAAAAAAAACCAAACATTTTTCTAGGTGATGCCAAATACACACATGCACAGCAACAAACTGAGCTGACAGCCAGAGTCCCTCATTTCATAAACACAGTTTGGATTATTTCTTCTTAATGTAAGGCCTCACTCTTGTTCTCATGTAGTATCTCCTTGGTTAATCACAGACTCAAGACTTCCCTTTTGTAATCTGGCCCTGTCTGGCTCTCTGCCACCTAGAAGTTGAAGGCCACCCACGACCAAGCGCTTTCTCCCTCTCGTTGTTAAGTTCAAATAGTCTTCATGATTCCTAAGGAAATATCCTTTTTACACTGCACCCAGAGCGGTATCATTTAAGCATAGCTTTTGTTCTCTGATGTTCTATGAAAGAAAAATCAAACAGCCCCTTTATCCACACACACATCTCTTGGTGACACAACTTTAAATGTATGTCATCTGCCTTTTCTCTCTCCTTATGTATATCCTTTTCTGGGGAACGTTGGCAAAATTGTGGAAGTTGAATGAGACTACGTTGCCCAAGAGCCTAATTACCCCCTCGAAAAGCTCTAATAAATGCTCAGGGATTTTTTTCCTCTTGTAGATACCATGTCATCTGGCTTCATAGATTTTTTTTTAAAATTTTGGGACATTAATTGGACAAGTCCATGAAATGCCAGCAAGACAATGAAATGGGCTGCTTCCTTAGAAAAATAGAATTTTATATACCATGCAAACTCAGGCAAAAAGGGGAAACAAATCAAAAAGATAATGATGCTTTTCCTGGGTAGTAAGTTTCCAGGTAGTTGTTTTCGTCTTTCGTACATTTCTGTATTTTCCTAACTTTCTGCAACAAACATACATTTTGTAGTCAGGGAAGGAAAATGTTATTTTAAAAAGGCCATGTGGATACGCCCCAGATGGCAGGGCCCTCCGGAGCCGCAGATAACAGCCCCCGGGTGGAATGACTGGTCACATTGTTTTGACAAATGTTATTAAGCGACACCACGATAGCTACTGGGAGATTGCAAAGAGGAGCAGGACACATTTTTAGCCCTTGAGGAGAACACAGTTGATGAAGAGTGAAGGCTCACTCACTCTACAGTATTTATCTGGGGCCTTCCCTGAAAAGCACACGGCTTCGCATGAAGCCTCATTTCTCCAAGGCAGTAAAAACATAATGTTTAAATGTGTGGGCTCTGCATCCAGAGTTCCTGGGTTCAAATCTCAATCCATCACGTAGTGGTATGACTTTGGACAAATTGCCTAACTCTCCCGTGCCCCGGTTACTTAGTCCGTAAGACGAGACCAAAATGAGGCACAACCTCGGCAGGTGGTGAGAGCTCAGTAAGTTTAGAGCTGTGAGGGTGCCTGGCACAGAGGGAATGCTGGGTAAGTGCTGACCACTTCGACCTCCTTGACTACACACCCAGGGCCGCAGCCAAACCTGTGAAGTGAAGTCGTGTGGAATACTGGTGCCAGGCCCTGCTCAGTTTTTCTGCAGAGACAAAGGCAGGGGAAGCCACACGCTGTCTCTCAGGCCACACTGGCTCCAGCAAAGCCTCAACACTCTAAATCATTGTAGGCTGGGCTCTCCTTCCTTTGGGCGAGTTTTGGAGCCCATAGCTTCAAGCAGAGGGCCCCTCTCCCTCCAGATATGATGTCATCAGATTTTGGCCAGTTTTTGGCCTAGATTCCCCATAAATCTGGGAGAACAGACTGGCTCACACAGGCTACTCAATTTTTGTCCTGCTCTGCTTCGGTTAATTATTACTCTTTCCTTAAGCTGCTCATCCAAGATCTAATGCCATCTACTGTTTCTATGAACTTAGAACAGAGACTGTAGGAACCCAGCTGATGAATTAGAGACTGGGGTGTTTTGAGCCCGATAAGCCAGCCTCCCAAGAGGTCTTCCAGGGCAGGTCACTTGGATGTGTCCTCCTGCTCTGCTTCCCATCCCTGATCAGGTTCAGCCAATGGAGATTCTTCTATCCTTTTTTCCATGTGGAGGGGAGGATTTGTGGAGCTACATTATTGGTGTCGAAACCCATGCGATCATCATAATGAGATGATAATGAGTTAATTAGTTACTGAGATATTAGTTTCAGAACAGATTTGGGGGAGGGTTCAGTAATTCTATAGATCCAATAACTTATTTTTATTTTTACGGAGTAAAAGAAACCCCAACTTTCTATTTAGAAAAAGAAATTCCAGTATTTCATCTTTTAGCCACACCAAAAAAATTAATGCATTTATCAAGATAAAAAAAATCAGAAGGAATAGAAGTAAGGCATGCTTAGCTGTAAGACATAGTTCCATTTTTCATTCACTATTAAGGTAATTTCAGTCGAAAAGGCTTCAGGCAGCATCGCTCAGTAACCCAACACTGGGTAAGGAGGCGAAGAGATTCTAAGAGGCAGAATGGTTCTCTGTACAGAGAGTAACTGGGGGCTCTGCACTGCTGAAACTTATCTAGAAATATACAATAGCCGTGCACTGGCACGAACGGACAGGGCTGCTGGCAGCTGGAAGTCGGGCAGCCGTGGGTTCAGATCTCACTGTGCTGCCCATTGATGTGAACTTGGTAATGGGAGAGTCTGAAAGTCTCAGTTCCTGCAGCTGTAAGACACTCCTCCAGGCCAACCACACCTTTTCCCAAACTCCAGAGTCAGCACAGCCCCGACCCTGTCCAGGGCTGAGGGGACTGAGCATCCAGCCCGGCATCGCCCTCGCCCTCAGCTCGGAGGCGGAGCAGGCTCAGTCTCGCCAAGTGGCCAACTTCCAATTGTCTCTATTTTCTTCTTCCCTTTCCAAGAAACTCCAGGCGCAGAGCATTTACCAAGGAGGAGACTTTTCAGCCCTACGTTTCAGTGCCCCAGGCCTGCAGGGTCCTCTGTTAACTCTCTGGGGAAGGGCACACAGGGCTCCTGAATATGCCGCTTTTCCAATCCTATCAGCCTCCAGCTCCGTTTCCGACTTCCGGTCCTGGTCCAGCGCTCACAGCTCTTCCCCAGGCCCAAGGTTGCTGTGATTCCTTTGTGAGTTCTTCCTGAGATGGTAGGGTCATCTCTCCTCTATTCCTCACTCGACGAATCCCCACTCCAAAATGATTGGCTCTCTGTCTTAATATTTCTCCCTCCTGATCTGAAAATAGGGGATTTATTTTTGACCAAATAAATTTGAGGATTCCGCAACTCCTGCTCGCACTGTTAGGCCTCACTGGAAAGCCGGTTCTCATAACACTTGCTGTCTTTCCCCATGCCTCTTCAGTGCCTGAATCTCTCCATATCTAGCTGCGTTCACTGTCTGTTCTGTTCACCAGGTTGGCCTCAGGTCCTAGCCTAGCTGGGCACAGAAGGCTGACACCCACCAGTTACTGCTGGACAGCCACATGATGCTCTCCTGCAAGAATTCTCCTTCCCTTCTCGGGACCACTCACTCATTCTCCAGGATTACGGCTGCCCATTGCTTCTCTGGGACGTCTTCCTTGAATTCCTCAGGTCTTCTGAGTTTTCCTCTCTGTCCTCCCGGATCCCTTATTTGGGCACAAAGCATGTTGCAGGTGGTTTTGCCTGTGTCTTTCCCTGCTCCAATGGGAACTTCTAGGGAGCAGAGACTGTGTCCTCATCATCTCTGTATCCCTGTGCTTGCCACAGACCAGGACACAATTATCTGGACTCTAGGAATTCTGTATTTACCTTTAAAATGTAGGCAAAACCCCTGATGAGAGAGTGGTCCTACCACAGTGACAAAGGCTTCGCTAGAGTGTTCAGCTAACTGAGGGAACAGGAGTTTAGGTAGGATGCTGAGAGGAAGGAGGGTGGGGACAGCTGGCCGGAGGGCACTGCATTTCCTTAATAACTGACTCTTCACTTTAGTAGGAAAATACCCTGGCGTTGGAGCAGGAAAGGGAAAGAAGCTTATCAAAAAGAAGATCAATATTCACAGGTAAATCATTAGCTTTCAATCAGGGTCAAAACGTCTCAATGTTTTTAACTGTGTTCTTCAGCGGCAGGCCTGGGTGACCATCCTGCCATGGGCTGGTGGCCTCTTCCAACACCAAAGAGGCAGAAAGGATGCTCCTTTCGGGAGGGCATCTGGATCCCCAAGGAATGGCACAGTCCTGTGGGTTACTCTCCCAGGAAGATGCTGGGGTCCTTGAGGTCAAACCTTAACATATGTGTGGCTTTTGGGCTGATGAGATTAAAAGGGAGCTGGGTTTCTTTTATTTCTAGAATTGGGTTCTCTCATGGGTTCTCTCAGGTACCCCTGATTCTTCAGGATTATACTCCCCATTTCTTCCTTTACCTTTTATTTTAATTAAATCAACATTTATTGAGCCCTTACCAGGGGCTGTGATACTGTGGGAAATTTAAAGATGAAAAGACTGACCCTAAAGGAAAACCAGCAAGATTAAAACATAACAGGAACGCTGAGATAAAAATCTTTATCATGCTATATGGACAAAATTGAATTCAAGGAACATATCTAACCTCTCCTTGAGGAAGGGGCTATGCCACATGCTGGAGTCCAGAGGTGAGGACAACCGTGGTCCTCACAGGAACTTGTTCTGCAGAAGGAAGTGCCCTCCCAGAGCAAGACTTTGGCACAAAGTGGGATAATTACACATTCCTTCCCTCATCACCTCTGGCCAGGCTCCTAAGATCTGCTGGCTAACAATGAAAGCATGGAGCCCGGCCCGGGGCCGTGCCCCTGGAATCTGTCAATGCCACCTCTCCAGGAGGGAGGTGGCCCTACCACGCTGGAGTTCTTGAATGGAAGAATTCATCAGGCAGCGGTGGCCCCACACCCTTCCAGGAAAGCGGAGGGCTCCAGCCCCTTCCATCCAGGCTCTGGTGAGGAAGGGTGCTTTAGAGCAGTAAGTCTAGATGGAGACTCCGGAGACCCCTGGATGGAGAGGGCTGGGAGACCCTAGGATGGAGAGTATGGGGGTGCACGTGGATGGACAGGGCCGAAGGACCCTAGGATAGATGGAGCTGGGCGTATCTGGAAGAAAGGGGCTGGAGGACCCAAAGATGGAGGCGGCTGGGTGCACCTGGATGGAGGGGTCTGGAGTGGGCCTGGATAGAGGGTCTGGACCCGCCAGGACGAAAGGGGCTGAGGGACCCTGGCTCCGGCGCTGGAGTCCTAGGTGTGGGACCCTGTGCCCCTTGGCTGCGGGCGAACAGTCGACGCCCCACCCTCGGCCCCGCCACCCACCTGGGCACGCCCTGGAGTAGTCGAAGCAGCAGTCCCCGGTGAGGCGGCAGGCTTCGTCGCAGAAGCACGTCCCGTAGACCCTGTCCAACCTCCAGCCGCGGGCGAAGCAGGTGGGGTCCCGGCCGGGGCAGCAGCGCCCCGCCTCGGCGCAGCCGGCCAGGGCCCCGGGCCACAGCCGGGCCAGCGCGCACAGCGCCATCCACAGCGTCCTCATGGCCAGCGCTCGGGCGGCGTCCGGGGCGAGCGCGGCGCTCCTCCGAGAGCGGAGGCCCGGAGCAGCCCTACCCGGCCCGGCCCTGCCCCGCGCCGGCCCCCGCCCTCCGCCCTCCGCCCTCCCGCGCCGCCCCTCCCCGGGCCTGGCGAGGCGCCCGTCGGGGCCCGGGTGGGGCTGCGGCCGCGCCGGCCCAGGTGGGGAGCGCGCCTGGCCCCCGGCGCCCCACGATCGGGGCTCGGGGCTCCAGCGCCCCCGCCCCAGCCCGCGGGGACCGCCTGGGAGCGAGAGGAGAAGCAGGTGCTCTGGGATCGCAGAGGCCCGGGGAGCGTCTGGGGCCCCAGCATCCCGGCCAGGGCGGCCACATTTCCTGGCTCCGAACGTCGGGGGACGCGTTAGCGGGTGGTCATTTAATCTGTAAAGCCAGGGGACTTGAATAGCGCTGGATGGGCAGCAGGCACGTCTCAGCGGCACAGTGCGCGCGGGTCGCCTGGCGTCGCGCAGGGAAGCCCATAGTGTACTTTTCCGGGGCCCGTCCCGGGACACAGAGGCCCTTCAGAAGCAAGGAGATAAGCCCAAAGCAGCATCCTTTCTTTCTGCTGCATTTTATAATGGGATTTTCCTGCCCCAGGAAAATGAAACTCTGCTTCACCGAAGAGGCAATTAATGAACGTGAAGGCGAGGTTAAATGAGATATAAACGGTGCTCTGCTTTCTGTTAAGGCAGGTTCCCCAAAGAAACCCTGCTTAATGATATTTTAGAAATAACTGCCGCTTTAATCAAGTACTTGTCTGACTTTTCAGATACGTTTTCTTCCCTCTTTCTCTCCAAGTATATTTTCGGCACCTCACTCTTTTCGTTAACCAAAAATTATCCTGGAAATTTCATTTTATTCTATGTTCTTAAATCATTTACACTATTATGGTTTTTATGAGAAACCAGGAATCTAAAGTTTTCTCTTTCTGTGAATCTAAGCTGTCTAATTATTTAATTTCAGAAACTAATTTTTTTTCCTTTATCATACAAAGACTTCTCATAGAGGAATTTCCTTTACGCTTTAGAGAGAAAAATAACCAAAAGTAAAAAAAAAAAAAAAGTTACTATAAAAGTAGTAAAACAATACAATACCCAAACTTTATCACAGATAAATTTGGCCCATGTAGAATGTAATCTTTTTTTCATTGTCCAAGGAAAACACACTCTAAAGGTAAAAAGGAATTCTTTCTTTGTGATTATTTATCAAATAAATCTCAGGATTGGAAATTTATTTTTGTTTTCCTCTTTAGGTAGGCCTCTCTTACTTTTGCAATTTAAATAAATAACATAGACCTTTTTATTTTTTATATTTTTAGTTCTTGGTGGTTGCTACTAAATAACTTTGTCAGCAAATTATACCCTCTGCCTTTTACCTGCGTTGTAGGTTTTATTAGCAGCTTTATACTAACTCATTCATGTAATTTATCCCCTGCTTCCTCCCCAAGGCTGTCTGCTTTATGGATTGCCCTTTGCTAGAGGCTTATTCTGTAATGCCATAAGAATCTGGGATTGTTCCAGAAATGTAAAGGAAAATGATTCACTGACAAGTTCATTTTCAGGAATAAAACATGAAATGAAGTGACAGAGAAAAGTGGAAGAAGATGACCTCCGGATTAAGAGGATTAAAAATATAATGCCAATGTCTGCTCAAACACCGTTTCTTCCCCGCTCCCCTTCTCCTTACACCGAGACAAAACCAAAACCAAAAATCAAAACCAAAAAGTTTCGGATCTGTGCTCAGGAGGTTTGGGTTCATTCTGATTGTATAAAGTCTGATAAATTGCCTCAGTGTCATCATCTCAAACGTAAAATGCTGAACCTTCTCAGATTGCTGTGGGGCGTCTATAGAAACCAGGTGATGTGTGTAAATTGAGCACCAAGTGAGTGCTAAATATCTACTAGTGTCCTAATGCCCATCCCTGTCCCACTCCATAATTTCAACCTAAAACCAAGTAAAAGACAAGCTCAGTTTTAATGGTGTGCAAAGTAGGGGAAAGCACAAAGTTAAAAAGCAGAAGAAGAAAACCACAAATAAATGATTACTACTTTAACGCCAAACATCAAAGGGAGCTTGTCTCTGGTAAGTAACATTGAAAGAAACTCTCAACCTCAAGTTAAAGCTTGCACTGTCTTGAAAACATCAAGATAAGGCTCCCCTAGCAGGCCCTTGCAAAGGAAGGAGTTCCTGCTGGGATGGGCAGAGTCAGGGGACACTGACATTTAGAGCAACGGAGTTCACATCCTTACTGGAAATGGGGTGCAGTGAAATGTAACAGTCACTTTGTTTTCCGTGTCTTGTAGATGTTTGGAGAAAAGAAATCATCGCAGCGATTGTGTGGGCGAATATAGGAAGTAATCGAACGCACCTTAAAAGACTCCCTTTCCTCTGAAGTGTTGTCTTTGGAAGCTGTCCAAGATTGGTAAAATTACAGAGGGGAACGGAGGCCTCTCTGCTCACCAGATTCCAGAATGCAGTCATGTTAAAGGGCATCCGAATATATGATCCCATTTGACCTTGCATAGCTGTGAAGTGAATCCTGGCACTCCCATTTTGCAGATGACAGAGATTAGACATGTAGCTAATTAGTGATGAAATGGAACTAGAACTAAAATTATTCTTTCCAAAACACTGCAAAGTTCTTCCCATTACTTAAGTCTTGGTGGTGGTTGTGGTGACGTGGTAATGGAAAGAAAAAGCAAGTGAGATTAAGTGCTGTACCAAATACAAGTATATGTGGAAATGAAATACAAGTAATTTCCAAGAAAGTTTGAATAACATTAAAATGTAAATGGATGCGGATGCCAGGATGCCAGGAGGGATGTAGAGGGAATCCCGTGAGAGTGACAAACAGAACAGTTGATTCTCTGGCAGCTTGTTGGACATCTGTCAGAGGCAGAACACTGCATGGATATCAATAACATTATATTTTGTCGAATATCGGTCACCTTTAACTGTAAGATTTACTATTATTTTATTGTAATACTAAGATATAGTACATAAAACATAAGGAAAAAAACCCACTGTCAATTAAAGTATGGTGCATACATATGCACGGATCGTCCGTCTGGGTCGCTATAATAAAATACCATGGCTGGGTGGTTTGTAAACAGAAATTTATTTCTCACAGTTCTGGAAGCTGGGAAGCCCAAGATCAAGGCGCCAGCAGATTCAGTGTGTGGTGAGGGCCCGCTTTGTGGTTCATAGACAGTGCCTTCCAGCTGTAAGCTCCGGTGGCAGAAGGGGCTAGGGAGCTAGCTGAGTATCTGTTTTATAAGAGCACTGATGTCGTTCACGAGGGCTTCGTCCGCATGGCCCAAGCACCTCTCAAAGGCTCCAGGTCCCACACCATCACCTTGGGCGTTAGGTTTCAACATACGAATTTTGGGGGAACGTAAACATTGAGTATTTCTGTTTCAGATATGAGAAAATGTTCATCTTAGAATTAATGAAAAATTGAAAGACACAGCATTTTCATCACTTTACTTTTTATAACATGCTTTTCAGGTAATCGTCTGAGGCAGATATTGTTAATTCTCTCATCTTGTTGAAGGGGAGGTTCAGAGGGGCTAAACGACCCCCCAGGATCCCATGGGCTCAGCCCTCTCTTTGGAGCCAGCACTGCTCATCGGGTTGCCATCATTCCCTTCCTGTGGGTCAAATGCTACTCCAGGCTGAGGACCAAAGATGGGTGAAAAATGGTCCTTCTCTAAGGAGATGGAGAGCCAATGGAGACACAAGACGTGTAAAGTCACCACAGCCTGTCGTGATGAGTGCTATTCGAAAAAGGGATGGTGGAGGATGTCTGAGATACTGACACTGCAGCTGTGCAGACAAGGGGGAGACTGAATTATAAAGAATTCCTAGTTATAAAGACTAGGATTGGGTCACTGTTAGTCCCTTTCCTCTCTTCCTGGAAAGCGCAGATTTAGCCACTAGGAAAAGTTCAAATACTTTTAGGGAAGGTCTTGCCTTGATAGGCTGATCCCTTTTCCTTTACTAACACCAAAGCTGCAGGCAAGTATCCAAAGATGCTTGTTTAAGAGGGTGAGCATAACATACCTTGAGTGATTCTTCCCCAACCACGTCATAGCAAGCAGTCAAGGACACCAAGGTTTATGCTGCCAGTTTTGTATCTTTGATTCTATCAATTAAATAACAGGGAGTGGACATAGAGGTGGTAAATTCAATTCATTGGTTGCTTATAAAATGCTCATTCTTCCCTTCTTCCTCTAACAACCGACAGATTGTCCTTTCCGGAGGAAGAACCCCTTCCATCCATATGTGACAGCAGCTCATTTTGGGTGGATTAACCCCACTCCTAGCTCTAGGGATGGGCTCTGAGGGTTAATTCCATCCTCAGCCTATGGACCAGTCCAGGAATTGGTCCAATCAAACCCTCGGGATCGGGATGTTTGTTCCATAGTTGATTTGGTTTCACCTTTGCCCTTACTGGATGTGAATGAGGAGCAAAGTGGCCCATGTGAAGCCAGCCTGAGATCTCAGCCACCAAGCCAGAGAAGGCCAAGCCAGGGACCACAGGTACACAAGTGAACGGTGCTTGAAGTGACACTTCCCCTTTTCAACTCCCTGCCTCAGTAAATCCTTCTTATAATTTATGCCGGTCTCTATTGTGTTTCTGTGGCTTAGAACAAAAGCACGCAACAGAGGCGACATGGAAAGTGAAGAGCTCAGATTTTGAAGAGAAAAGTGAATGTGAAGCGTGGCTCTATCACTTACTGGCTATGTAACATGAAATAAATTACTGTAGGCTCCTAAGTCTCAGCTTCCTGACCTGTAAAATGGAGATAAATAAGGAAAGGATTAAATTATGTAATCTATGTATGTCTAGTATACTTCCTGATATATAAGAAAGAGTTGGCAATTAACGGTAATTATTATATTTGTTCTCTGGACTTTGACACAAAAGGCATGCTTTAATTATGAGTAATAACATTGTGGACCTAAAATAAACAAACCACCAGTTATTTTACCAGCAGAATAGGTTTGTTCTGTAACAGCAAAGAAGGGCAGTTCTAGACATGCAGTGTATG